CTGGACACGGTGGAGCTGGCTGGCCAGTTAGAAGTCCCTGAGTAAGTCTTGTAATACAGCAGTTCGTGAGGATTTAGGTAGAGAGTAAGCTGGATCTTACTTATCATGGTCTACACCGCTGTTTGAGCATGGTGGAGCTGGCTAACTTTTAGAAGTCACTGAGTAAGTCTTGGAACACACAGAAGCTCGTAACATAGCGGTGGACGCGCGGGGCGCGGGCGGCAGGGGGCTGGCGGCGCACCACGCGCTGCACCGGCGCCTGGGCACGGTGGAGCTGGCTGACCAGCTGGAAGTCGCTGAGTAAGTCTTGGAATACACAGAAGCTCGTAACAGAGCGATGGACGCGCTGTATCGCCGGCTGGACGGTCTATGCTGGTGCTAGAGTACAGTGGAGCTGGCTAACCTATTAGTCGCTGAGTATTGTAAGTCTTGTAATACAGCAGCTCGTGACAGAACGGTGGAGCCTGGACTGGTGTTGTGTGTCAGCTAGATTCTTACTTATCATGGTCTTCACCGGCTTTTGGGCACGGTAGAGCTGGCTGACCAATTAGAAGTCGCTGAGTAAGTCTTAAACACCTAGCAGCTCCTGCGACAAAGCGGCGTGGCAGCAGAATGCTACTTATCATGGTCTTCACCAGCGCTTGGAAACGGTTGAACTTGCTGAGTACCTAAGTCTTGCCACTCACTTACATCTGGTGTGGCGTGGCAGCTAGATTTTTACTGGTCATGGTCTACATTGGCGCTGGAGCATGGTGTATCTGTTTGACCAATTAGAAGTCGCTGAGTAAGTGTTGTAATATGCAGCAGCTGGTGACTGAGCGGCGTGGAAGCAGGATTGTTACTTATCATGGTCTACACTGGCGCCTGGGCACTGTGGAGCTGGCTAACCTATTGAAAGTCGCTGAGTAAGTCTTGGAAGACACAGCAGCTAGTGACAGAGCGATGGAGCCTCGACTGGTGCAGCGTGGCGGCGGGGGCGGGGGCGGTGGTGGCGGCGGTGGACGCGCGGGGCGCGGGCGGCAGGGGGCTGGCGGCGCACCACGCGCTGCACCGGCGCCTGGGCACGGTGGAGCTGGCTGACCAGCTGGAAGTCGCTGAGTAAGTCTTGGAATACACAGAAGCTCGTAACAGAGCGATGGACGCGCTGTATCGCCGCCTGGACGGTCTATGCTGGACGCTGGTGCTAGAGTACGGTGGAGCTGGCTAACCTATTAGTCGCTGAGTATTGTAAGTCTTGTAATACAGCAGCTCGTGACGGAAAGGTGAAGCCTGGACTGGTGTTGTGTAGCAGCTGGATGCTTACTTATCATGGTCTTCACCGGCTTTGAGTAAGTCTTGTAATACAGCAGCTCCTGCGACAAAGCGGCGTGGCAGCAGGATTCTTACTTACCATGGTCTACACCAGCGCTTGGAAACAGTTGAACTTGCTGAGTACCTAAGTCTTATGCCCGTTTTCACCATCAATCCCTTAAGCGTTTGCTAACTAAACATCACTTTGGTTAAACGATCGCCTAAACTGCCCACTAACCTAAGTTCGTTTTCACCATGCTATAGTAAACCTAAGTAGGGACTCTTTTGTCAGGTGGCGTTTCTTCGTGCGCCTAGTGACGTTTAAAAAACCGGTAATTTCCGATAAAATATTTTGTTGGGAATATATTACGTATTTCACAGAAACAAATGAAATAAAAGTTAAACAAAGAAATAGTTGACCAAAACTGATGTCTTTTTGTATTTTTGAGTTATTATTAAAGACAAAAAAGATATTTGGGCTATTATGTAATCTGTGGTTTGGGTGCATAATGTAATTCCTTTGCCTTAAAAAAAGTAAATGTCAAGATGACTGCTGCACCACATTATAAGAAAATAAAAATGTACAATGTGTACCTACATATTGATTTTGATAGATATTTTGTTGAGTTCTGTGTGTAGTTTTGTGCGATTTAACGATAAAAACGACAATGGAAAAAAGAAATGAAGCAAAATTTTTCCCTCAAGGAAAAAGATAAATTGGTTTACTTGCCCACAAGGATACTGTACGAGCACGTCAGCATCGACCGCGACCTACGTGCTAGCCGACTGGCCCATGAACCCTCAACGTGCACCGTAGGCACTCTACACCGACGGCACATTGGACTGGACACATTGAATTGTGTAAATCTTGTATATAGCAATAGCATAACAGTAATAAACCAGATATCAACCGTCCGCGTTGTGTTTCATTTACCCCCACTGAGGCCAAGAAAGCCTTAGTGCAGCCCTCCTTCCTATCAAATCTTTATTAATATCTAATTATAAGGTATTGTTAGGGCTCTAGGGACTACAAACAAAGCCAGAAATATAGCTTGGTTATGAGATAAGTTATGAGTGACCAATACATACTATCTATTTCTATACCGTATGTAATCCTGTCTCACTCTATAATATTTTTATGTAGCCGCCTGAATAAACTTGAGTGAAAAAGTGTTTCCACTGTCTCAATTGCATAAAAAGCTTCAAAAAAATCATTTCATTCAGTTTTCATTTTGCCGAATAGGCGTGATTGACAATATAACTGTCACCTAACACTTAGGCGGCCGAAAATCGGGCCCCTGTTTTAAAGTGCTCCCATAAGGCCTAAGATGTCCCCTATGTGTTGGTGAAAACGAAATTCCTGTTAGGTATTACTTAATATTTCATAAAGGTCGCTTTAAAATTAGGGATTGATGGTGAAAACGGGCATTAGCCACTCACTTACATCTGGCGTGGCGTGGCAGCTAGATTCTTACTGGTCATGGTCTACACTGGCGCTGGAGCATGGTGCATCTGTTTGACCAGTTAGAAGTCGCTGAGTAAGTCTTGGAGCACATAGCAGCTGGTGAGAGAGCGGCGTGGAAGCAGGATTGTTACTTATCATGGTCTACACTATCGCCTGGGCACTGTGGAGCTGGCTAACCTATTGAAAGTCGCTGAGTAAGTCTTGGAGCACATAGTAGATGGTGACAGAGCGATGGAGCCTCGACTGGTGCAGCGTGGCGGCGGGGGCGGGGGCGGTGGTGGCGGCGGTGGACGCGCGGGGCGCGGGCGGCAGGGGGCTGGCGGCGCACCACGCGCTGCACCGGCGCCTGGGCACGGTGGAGCTGGCTGACCAGCTGGAAGTCGCTGAGTAAGTCTTGTAATACAGCAGCTTCGACTAAGCGATGGAGCCTCGAGTGGGGCCATTTAGCAGCTGTATTCTTACTGATCATGGTCTATACTGGCGCTATGGAACGGTGGAGCTGGCTGACCAGCTGGAAGTCGCTGAGTAAGTCTTGGAATACAGCAGCTGGTGACAGTAGAGCGGTGGAGCCTCGAGTGGGGCCATTTAGCAGCTGGATTCTTACTGATCATGGTCTATACTGGCGCTAGGGAACGGTGGAGCTGGCTGGCCAGTTGGAAGTCGCTGAGTAAGTCTTGGAATACAGCAGCTGGTGACAGTAGAGCGGTGGAGCCTCGAGTGGGGCCATTTAGCAGCTGGATTCTTACTGATTTTGGTCTATACTGGCGCTAGGCCACGGTGGAGCTGGCTGATCAGCTGGAAGTCGCTGAGTAAGTCTTGAACACCTAGCAGCTCGTGAGGATGTTAAAGAGACTTGGATGCCCACTTATTATGGTATATACTGGCTCCTGAACAGGGTAGAGCTCGCTGACCAGTTAGAAGTCGCTGAGTAAGTCTTGAACACCTAGCAGCTCCTGCGACAAAGCGGCGTGGAAGCAGGATTGTTACTTATCATGTGTCTACACTGACGCCTTGGCACTGTGGAGCTGGCTAACCTATGAGTCGTTGAGTAAGTCTTGGAAGACACAGCAGCTAGTGGCAGAGCGATGGAGCCTCGACTGGTGCAGCGTGGCGGCGGGGGCGGGGGCGGTGGTGGCGGCGGTGGACGCGCGGGGCGCGGGCGGCAGGGGGCTGGCGGCGCACCACGCGCTGCACCGGCGCCTGGGCACGGTCGAGCTGGCTGACCAGCTGGAAGTCGCTGAGTAAGTCTTGGAACACAACAGCTCGTGACAGAGCGATGGAGCCTCGAAGCCTTGTATTCTTACCTACTTATCAGGATCTGCACCAGCATCTAAGCACGGCTGAGCTCACTGACCAGTTAGAAGTCGCTGAGTAAGTCTTGTAATACAGCGGCTCGTGACAGAGCGGTGCACAGGCAGGGGGCTAGCCACGCACCACACGCTCCACAGGCGCCTGGGCACGGTAGAGCTGGCTGACCAGCTGGAAGTCGCTGAGTAAGTTTTGTATAACAGCAGCTTCGACAGAGCGATGGAGGAGTCTTGACTGGTGTTGTGTATGTATTAGCTAAATTCTTGCTTATCATGGTCTACACCGCTGCCTGATCAGTCTGGGCACGGTGGAGCTGGCTGACCAGCTGGAAGTCGCTGAGTAACTCTTGTATAACAGCAGCTTCGACTAAGCGATGGAGCCTCGAGTGGGGCCATTTAGCAGCTGTATTCTTACTGATCATGGTCTATACTGGCGCTAGGGAACGGTGGAGCTGGCTGACCAGCTGGAAGTCGCTGAGTAAGTCTTGTAATACAGCAGCTTCGACAGAGCGATGGAGCCTCGAGTAGGGCCATTTAGCAGCTGGATTCTTACTGATCATGGTCTATACTGGCGCTAGGCCAAGGTGCACAGCAGCTTGTGACAGCAGCGTGGCAGCAGGATTCTTACTTACCATGGTCTACACCAGCGCTTTGACACGGTTGAACTTGCTAAGAACCTAAGTCTTAGCCACTCACTTACATCTGGCGTGGCGTGGCAGCTAGATTCTTACTGGTCATGGTCCACACTGGCGCTGGAGCATGGTGCATCTGTTTGACCAGTTAGAAGTCACTGAGTAAGTGTTGTAATATGCAGCAGCTGGTGACTGAGCGGCGTGGAAGCAGGATTGTTACTTATCATGGTCTACACTGGCGCCTGGGCACTGTGGAGCTGGCTAACCTATTGAAAGTCGCTGAGTAAGTCTTGGAGCACATAGTAGATGGTGGCAGAGCGGTGGAGCTTCGACTGGTGCAGCGTGGCGGCGGGGGCGGGGGCGGTGGTGGCGGCGGTGGACGCGCGGGGCGCGGGCGGCAGGGGGCTGGCGGCGCACCACGCGCTGCACCGGCGCCTGGGCACGGTGGAGCTGGCTGACCAGCTGGAAGTCGCTGAGTAAGTCTTGGAACACAACAGCTCGTGACAGAGCGATGGAGCCTCGAAGCCTTGTATTCTTACCTACTTATCAGGATCTGCACCAGCATCTAGGCACGGCTGAGCTCACTGACCATTTAGAAGTCGCTGAGTAAGCCTTGTAATACAGTGGCTCGCGGCAGAGCGGTGGACGGGCAGGGGGCTAGCCACGCACCACGCGCTGCACCGCCGCCTGGGCACGGTGGAGCTGGCTGACCAGCTGGAAGTCGCTGAGTAAGTCTTGGAATAGCGGTAGAGCCTCGACTAGAGCGGCGTGGCAGCTGGATTCTTACTTATCGTGTATCTACACTGGCGTGATGATCTATTATCTGTTTGACCAGTTAGAAGTCACTGAGTAAGCCTTGCAATGGACTGGACTGGTGCAGCGTGGCTGCTGGATTCGATTACAGGCACTGAAATCTAGGCTGAACCTTGCTGATCAGTATATGAAATCGCCGAGTAGTCGGATACTTAGCAGGAGTGAGCAGGATAAAGATAATTAAAACGATGGTACACCGATACCAGAAAGTTAGCAGTCACGAAATGAATGAATTGTAGTGTCTTCGATGTCTTTTGACAATATTTCAACAAGGTAAATCATAGGTAAACTATTCTATGATATTACAATCTACCAGTGCTCAAATGATAGATCAAACCAATCCAATCAAAACCCCGTCAAACTACTGTCCAATAATTGATATTGATGGTCGCAGAGGGAATTGTTCTGTGAGGTATTAGGTACGGGCATAATTCCCAAAGAAAGTTAGTCCACCTTCATAGCATTAACAAGATATTGATTAATACTGTGACAAAATAGTGCTTTCAAAGACTATATTATTCAAAACTACTTAAGGTATTAGATTAATCCGATCTTCAATAAATGTTATCTAATAAACTCGACGAACTTTGGTTTGTGCACTTACTTACTTTAGTTGGCTTACCTTTCAATCCAAAGTTTGTAAATCTAATTTAATACTGTTCATTTTGCGCTTCGACGTTCATTGGTTCATTTTAGTTTGACAAATAGCTTAAAGCGAAATTGTGAGGCAAATACCTATTAATTTTTAGTTTGGCAAATCTTTTGCAACGGTGACATCAGGGCCTAGCTAACGGAATAAATTGTGTTGGCTGTTGCAACTAGCCTAGCCCCGAACTAAGCAGACGTGGCTATAGAGCCACGTTGCTATTCCGGTGCAGCGATGGATGGGCGTGCCTACCGAGGAAATTGTAACATTATTTTTCGAGCATAAATGGATCTAAAATCGGGTGACCCTTCTTAAAAAATTTGTGTTGCCATCTCCTGGATCAAACCCTAAACAACAACACCAACGGTCCTAAGTTGGGTACGCCTATGGACTTGTGTATTGAAATTATTTTGCACATTATGAGAATATGTGCTAGTTGTATTGAATTTATTTAATTTCGCCAGGTACCTCCGCGATTCCCTCCACTTCATTGACGCCCGCCGAGTGGCGGTGTGGGGCCGTGCGCACGGAGGCTTCCTCGCGTCCCTGGCTCTGGCCAGCCCGTTGAGTGTCTTCCATTGTGGCATCGCCATCACCCCCATCGTCCGCTGGCGATATTACGGTAAGTGTAAGTGACCTAGAGTTTGGGAACCTGTACCTTTACGGCAAATGTTCGACACACATCGAGTGGCGGTGTGGGACCGCGCGCACGCGTCCGCTGGCGGTATTACGGTAAGTGACCAGGGGAAACTTGAGTGGAAGCTTTATGGTAAGTGATTGAAGTAGATGTCCTTGCCCGCCGAGTGGCGGTGTGGGGCCGCGCGCACGGAGGCTTTATGGCGTCTCTGGCTCTGGCCAGTCCGTTGAGTGTCTTCCATTGTGGCATCGCCATCACCCCCATCGTCCGCTGGCGATATTACGGTAAGTAGGGAAACTTGGGAACTTGTAGTTTTATGGTGAGTGATGATCGATTCCCGCCGATTGACGGTGGCGCACGGAGGCTTCCTGGCGTCCCTGGCTCTGGCCGTTGAGTGTCTTCCATTGTGGCATCGCCATCAACCCCATCGTCCGCTGGCGATATTACGGTAAGTGCCCTAGAGATTGGGAACCGTTCTGGAGTTCTCTCCTCCTTCCTCACGTTTCGTTTATGAATACAATTATTCGAAATGGAATGCTTGGACTACTTTTCACAAAGTTAAAATAGTTGCATAAATTGTGACAATGACTTTACACAATGACACCATAGTTTCTGTACATCTACCTGAACATCTGGACACGTGTGTGACCGGAAAATAAACGCGGAATAACAAAAAGTTGCTATAGATTCAACCAAACTGTTATCATTCATCATCATCATCATTTCAGTCATAAGACGTCCACTGCTGAACATAAGTAGGCCTTCCCCAATGATATCCATAATGACCGATTGGTAGCGGCCTGTATCCAGCGTCTTCCTGCTACCTTTATGAGATCATCGGTCCACTATCCCATACTAACTGTTCATAATCATGACCCATCCCTAAAATTAGCTTACTGTATTAAAAATAACCTTGTAGGTAAGTAGATACCTCGCGTAGAGAACAGCAACTAACCGTCTTGCAAATATTTTACCTCAGGAACTTCAATATTTTAACTTTACAACCGGGAGACGGTCTCGCATATTTTGAGAACATCTGCAAACATGTAGAACATGTCTTATAAAGAAAATTGTTTCTCCCACCTGCTGCGGTGTACAGACGACCGCACATTAAGCTAAGCACTCTTGTGTGGTTGTAATAGATTCTACAACATAGTATATAATGTGTCTTTGTACGTTTTGATGCACGTAGATATCCTAAATATTCATAAATACCTCAGCTCTTTGCATATAGGGTGAAAAATTCTGCAGGTAGGTAATTTTGTTCTTGAATATGAACAATCTTTGTTCTTCTTGGTTTCTTTTGATGCTTGCCTATTAAAGATAATAAATAAGTAAGAACTTTACGTACCTAGTCTAGAACTAATTCAAGTTAATAGTAATAAGGTATTATTGTATTATCTTGAATTTCTACTTTCACAAATACTTTGTGAATGAACTTTATTTATAAAATAAAACATTTTCATTTTCTTTTTTTTTTCATTTTGTACAAATAAACTAGGTAAGTATTAGAGAAAGAGATTAATTGGCAAAAATAGGTTACATTATAAGAACAAGAGAAAATTAAAAGTAACAAAAACTTCAAGACATTAATCAGACTTGGAAAATAAAAATGCACACTTAATAAGTATGTAGTAGTAAGTAGGTAGTAAGTACACTTAATTTTTTTTTGCTAATATTCTTATTTAGGTTTCATATTGTAAATGATTTTCAACAATCCTGTCAAATCTTAAAGTCTCTCCATTCACCCTGTATAACTCATGAGTGTATTCTTAGAAAAGTATGTTTGTTCGTCGCAAATTCGCTGTTGGCTTCCCCAAACAACGTATGATGGATTAAACGTAATGCGCTCTAAGTAAACGCGGTGTCTTCGAACAAACAATAACCCACAATCCCCGTGAGTAAGGGTAAGCCGGTAAAGTGTTTCTAATATTGCACGAATGTTAATGCAGGGATTTGGGATCGTGAAGGGATATTTGATTAACAATGGATGTAGGTAATCACTAAAACAAAAGGGTCTAATGCCCGTTTTCACCATCAATTTCTAATTTTTATGTGACCCCTATGGTAACATTTGACAGGCATTTTGTTTTCACATGGGTCACTTAAAAATTAGGGATTGATGGTGAAAACGGGCATAAATAAGTTAAACTTACTACACCTACTTGCCAATTAATATAATAATACATAGATATAAAGATTGAGCAGTAACATTAGAAGTGCCACCCTGCCACCAAACACTTGTTGTCGATCATTGTAGTCACACCAATTCGACTTATTTCACAGTATTTTTTTTTCATTTTAGGGGTAGAGGTCGGAGGTCCCATACAGTTTTCACCCATTCTGGAACACCCTGTATAATTATCCCGTAATTTGTCTGTAGCGTCAGCATACGCAGAGCGCTACATGGGCTTCCCGAACGCGACGGGCAACTACCGGGGTTATGCCGACGCTGACGTCACGAAGCAAGCAGCAGCGTTGCACGACAAGATGTTGCTGTTGGTACACGGCACAGCCGATGACAATGTCCACGTGCAGCAGACGATGGCGCTGGCTAAGGCGCTAGCTGATCATGGAAGCATGTTCCGGCAGCAGGTATAGAAAAAAGCTAGGTTGTATCATTGTAATCCATTCTCAAAAAAGACAAAGATCAATAGTTCTAGTATCTTATCTAAGTAGAGCTTCATAATATTTGGTCGGAGTTAAGTGTGCTGTGAACTATCGTTGTAGAAAATCTGTAATCAAGCAATATCTTCAAGGTGACATTACTTTCTACGTTTTGGCAGCTTATAAACTCTGTATGACAGTAAATAATGATTTATCCAACATTAATGTAATGCATAATTAATTTGAACTTAACCTAATGAGGCAAAAATGGCTCTAAGTTAGTACCATTTCTTGAGTGATGTTTGAGATGTGTTTAAGTGCCGTGAAAAAGATTTTTTAAATAAGAATTGATACTTATGAACTACTACACACTTTCATCAAATAACATTACAACAAAAAATGCATGTAAATTTCTAAAAAACTAACAACACTGACATATTTTTCATTCAACACATGCCTTTTGGGAACAGATTTACCCTGACGAAGGCCACAGCCTGGAAGGGGTCAAGCGCCATCTCTACAGGACCATGTCTTCGTTTCTGGACGACTGCTTCCGCAAACAGGTGCCCCCAGAGACGAAGGCGGGACTGCGGAACGGGGGGAACCTCGACTGAGATACGTGGAGGGATGAGGAGTTGTACTCTTGGTGAGTTCTATTGAATTTGTCGGCCGTTTGGTGTAGTGGTTCAGAACGGACTACTATGTCGAGAGGTCCCGGGTTCGATTCCCGGCCGGGCAGAAATTGAAATGATGAATTTTAATTTATGTGACGGGTCTGGGTGTGACTATGTATAATATTATTTTATGTATTTAAAAAAAAAGTATATATAGCCTGACCAGGAACATAAAAACCCTGGCATAGAGGCGCTTCAATTGCATTTGATAGTGCAACACTGGGTACAGTCGTACCTGTATTAAATTAATAGGCTAACTTTATGTATCAGGATTCAGGATTAAAGGTTTATTTAATACTAGCTTTCCGCCCGCGGCTTCGCCCGCGTGGAATTTTGTCTGTCACAGAAAAACTTTATCGCGCGCGTCCCTGTTTCAAAAACCGGGATAAAAACTATCCTATGTTCTTTCCCGGGACTCAAACTATCTCTATGCCAAATTTCATCAAAATCGGTTGCGAGGTTTAAGCGGGAAAGCGTAACAGACAGACAGACAGACAGACAGACAGACAGACAGACAGACAGAGTTACTTTCGCATTTATAATATTAGTTGGGATTTTCATAAATTTACAAAAACGTATTATATTATAGGTAAACTGGTTTAAATAAATTAAATGAAACCATCAATCTAGCAAGTAGGATTTTATTATTATTCATCAATAATCAAATTCTGAACTTGAATATTCAACTACAATGTCTGCTCATGAACGCTTCAAGCTCGGTACTTCTTTCCCAATTCCATAAAATTCAATACTTACAAAGTGACAAAAAACTTTAAAATAGGTAGTTGAAACAAACCACAGCTAATTTTCATAGTTGACTGTACTATACGATAAACATGTCAGTCAATTTGACAACCTTTGTCGGAAACATTATTCAATGAAAATATTGTCCGAACCCTTAGTATTTCTCTTCGACAAATACTTTAACACATTGTGAACCACTTTTCTTTCACGACTATAAAAAGATTTTAGCAATTTATTCACAAAATCAATTGCGCACATTTAAAATAAAGTTTGTTTACACTATGACAGCAATAAACTGACATGCAAGGTGACATTATAATGAAGTTTTCAGTTACTGTTGCCATTAAAAGAAATTAGTACCATTAGTTTTCCGCAACATGGCGAGGGTTTTTATGTTCCTGGTCAGGCTATAAGTAGTATATCCGTTAAGCTAGCACCCATAACACAAGCATTATGTTGCTTACTTTGGGGCTAGCTAGCGCTGTGTGAAATTGCCCAAAGATTTATTTATTTATTTATTTATTTATTATTTATTTATTTATTTAATAATAATGTTTGTGACCGTTTAAATTAAGCAACCTTTGCTGACGTCAACGGTTTCCAAAGAAACGCATTTCTATCTCGTTTTTTTCTTAGGTTATGGGTTCCCAATCTTTTTCGTTCCTTTGAAATTTTGTCACGGCGCCCTTTGAAAAAGATACAGTTAAAAGACGGGCGGGTAAAGACGTGGGAGGGATAGGGTATCAACGGTCTCAAACGTGAACGCGACGTAAAGAATTAACTCACAGCGCGCTCCTCTTTACTTTTTACGGCACCAGGGCGCTGTGGCGCACACTTTGGGAACTTCTGTCTTTGATACCTACTTATTATTACAATTTGTATGCTGACTAATCATTAAGATTAAATTATTGTACTAGTGGAAGTAAGTAATTTGATTTTTCTTTATTTTCAGGTAAACGCAAGAAATAGTCGTGAAACTAATTAGGAAAAACTTTAAGGCCCTATTGAACCCGTAGTACAACCTTTTCCATATCCTACCCACACTGTCTACTGCCAATGAGTGGACTCTTAACACATCAAACTTTTTGTGATACATAGTTTTATAGACTTGTGAGTTCGACCCTCTATTTAAGGAGTTGCTGCGATCCCGTTGCTCTACTGTGGTGTTTAGTGATTGTGAACTGTCAATTTCACGTAACTCGACTGATCGTCTCTTGTTACTGCGCATGTAGACGTGGCAGTATGCGACAATAACGAACATAATATTAATTTTTATTGTAAATAAATCATGTGCATTATTTGACAGGCAGGCAACGGTGTCGTGGGTAAACAGCGTAGCCTAAGGAGCCTTCTATGAACACTGCGTTAGTTCATAGAAGAAAATAATATCGGTGAGACGTGCTATTATTAAACGTGTTATCGATCCGCAATCGGTTTATGCGAATATCACGATAAAAACGTTGTAAAATTTTAGCACTAAGTTACATCATAAGCAAATGTGACCAATGGAAAATTCGAACGTAAATTGGCACAAAACAAGTTTCGCGATCTAGGATCTATATCTGTATCGTGTTTGAGAAGAAATTACGAAGATATTTAAATCAAACGCCGCTAAACCAAAGAATGGTATCATCGAATGCCTAAGATTATATTAACCAGGACTTAATGGGTCCTGTAATTAATATCACAAGTTCAATCGTAGCTGAGAATCCTTCAGAAGGATTTAAATTATTTATACGAATCGCAATCCGAGATAATTCGTAAACTTTTTGTAGTAAAAACTTAATAATTTACGACTTTTTGAATTTTGATCTGGATATTCTTTTGCATGTAACATATTCGCAAAATTTCACATTTGACTACATTTGGAATTATACCTACTTCTTTTTAGGAACATATTGACTTCAAAACTATTTTAAATAACTAAAAGCGTTTATAATAAAACCCATTTATTGACTCCAATGCGTTCACTAGGTTTAAAAATAAATTAGTAAATAAATTAGGAATTAAAACGTTAAATTATTTTTCATGTTTTCATTTCAATGCGAGACAGTCTTATGTCTTAGTTTATCGATAGTGAAAGTTTCAAATGCCGCATTACTTTTAAGGCTTTGGTCCTTATAGCGTTTTAAATTATGGATAAAACTGTGCTGCACTGGTTTTTCTTTGATGAAATTTGGAATTTCTTCCAACGCAAAGCCGTATGCCACGTTATCGGGCTGCGTAGGGTTCTCAAGCATCTGCATTCTACCAGCCAGATTCTAGAATTAGAGAGCTGACCTTTGTGATTCAATCAAATATCCATTATTGCATTGGTCAGCTGCCTGCCTAGAAATCTCGCAGAGTAGCTTTGAAGGAGCTCAGTCAAACGATATGACCTAAAAAATTGACTTGACTAGGCCAGAAGCTGGGTATGACTTGCCCTCCTCTAGGCCAGAGGGCTGAATGTGAGTTTACATTAAAGGTCCTCACTAGTGAGCGCTTTAAAAAAATGAATGAAAATTTTAGTTCTTGAAAGTTTCCGCTAGGGGCGCTGTACAATCCGTCATACATTTTGATATTTTTTTACGCGCTCACTAGTGACAACGTTTGATGTAAACTCACTCACACTCAGCCCTCAGAAGCTTGGTAAGTTCAGCGGGACAGTCCATCCCAAAAAAAAAAAAAAGCTTGGTAAGCCCATGTACCCTACGCAGTAGCTACCTCACTGTTTATTATAAACTCACTGCCCAACGCGAGACGGCAAACGATATCTTCCAGCATCTTTACGAATCATCATCACGCGCTCACTTAGGAATAATAAAGGAATTGATTGTAGCTCTGTAGTCAATGGGTTTTGTGATCTTAGCAGTAACTTATAACAACTAGTCAGTATCGTAGATTCCTCGCCATTGTATTGTAGACCTTAACGTCATGGATACAAAGTTAATAATGGGAGGATTTTCGGTATAAGATCCAACCGTTACGCTGCCACAGTAAAATTGTAAGTGGTAGTACATGTTCGAAAGTTGTGGATAATTGAAATGCGTGTGAGTTTTTAAACAATCACCTAAGACTAATTATGTTTTGTATCTTTGATAATAGGCATGACGAAACCACGCAAGTTATAAATCGATTGGTATTATCATGCCTATTTAGGTCAATGACGTACGCACATAAAAGTTTAAAAAATGTAGTGCGTCAAGTAAAATCTAAACACAATTTTTAGCCCATTTTATTTCTAAATCATTGTGTACTAGTAAAATCGAACGATTCAACCGCACCAAAAATAATGGTAAAGTGTAATTTCTAAATGACAAATAACTGTATATTTGTAAAATTCCCGATTTAGATAGTATCATGCGCTTTTTGTATGTCATCGAAATTGTAGGGGATGTTTTTATGAAAGAATAAAATTGTCTTCTACTTTTAAATAAAAACTTAATCTTGCTGGAGCCTTACCAAAGAAGACACAGTATACTTTTGGAGTATCAGTAACTCGCGTATCTTGACAAAGAATGAATATTATACGAATACTAATGAGTCAAAATAAAATATGGTACAGGCGACAGCACATCTTGCTACGCATTGTAGCGTCTTATGTAGATTAATAAAGACGTTAATGCAACAAAATGTATAGTCTGGTGTGTTGTTGATTGTACCTAGACTCTTTTAAGTCTGTATCAATAACTCATTTAAGATTCATTTGGGTTAGTAGGTATAACTGAATCTTGTATTTGGAGTTAAATAAAAATTGCTCATTTTCATCAAAATTTTGCATGTCTAGTAATTAAATTAAAACATTTGATTAGTGTACAATTTAAAATGAATTTTTATTAATGACCAAAAATATAGCGTGTTAAAATATTTTACTAAAAACTTAAGGTTTTAAAACTAATTAGAAGTTTTGAATTTAGTAATATTTAGGAAGTTAATTAATTAGAATCGTTTGAAATCGTAAAACTTTGAAATAAAATGAAATTAATTATAGCAATAAAAATAGTTACAGTACCTTTTTAAGTAACCTATCGAAGTAGATGTAAATGCGTACATCCAGACCTTTTGAAACATTGTTCCGCTAACACCTCATAACACTTAATAAACAGTTTTAACTAAATAAAATAAATAATGGTTAGTGATCAATGTGATACAGTATGGATCAAATCCTCGAAATAATGTTAGATTTTTCGGCCGCCAAAAATTCATATGTTTTATTATCATTTAATCTAAAATATGCTATGATAGTTGTAGCGTAGGGCGATCGAGAAATCTCACAAATGTAGCGTTGTGAAGTCAACCTTCTGTTTATCGAGTGTACTGTGGTACGAATGAACACATCTATTTTGAAAATAGGCAGTTTTGAACTTAAGACCTACTTGGATCAAAGTAGGAGTATCTTAGACAAAATATGATGAGCTGTGACGGACGAGAATTAAGGAGGTATGTGGTGGAGAAAGGAGATAGAAGTCACTCACAAAGAAAACTTATAGAGTGATTCTGATCTCTCAAAAGGACTGCCGTATTTTTTCAAATCATCGCATATCATTTCTTAAGCACCTATTGTTGATAAATTAAAAAAAAACTGGCATAGACACCCTTTAAAAATTTTAGATGGAACTAATCAGTCTAATCACTTTAATGATATTTCTTTAAAAGTGAGTTTTATCTTCCAAAACAGTTGAAGAGACTCTATTCTTACTCACAGCTCATCGTAATTTATTTACCCGTGAAAATGTCGAATAAAAGGGAAAATGTAACAAATCAAACCAAGACCTAAGTGCCAAAGTGTTACATTAGAGTTCCGAGTAAGTAGATTTAAGTAACGTTATTCATTCGAATAGTTCGACGCGATTTCTCATAGTTTTTCATACTAATTTGGTCAATGATAGCAAATAACTTTTCAAGATATAAAAAGAAAAGAAGTTCAACTTTTCACATGAAATTGTAAATTTAATTGAATGAAAAGTCAATTCATTACCAAAATACGTAAATCTAAATTATCGAGAAAAGATAAAAATAAAATCCATTGCAGAAATTCATAACAAGCTGTGGCAATAATATTAAATTTGCCTATCAAATTGTTTGAATCTCTATCTAAAAATAATAAATTGATTAGATACAAAAATAAATAATTTATTATTAAATAAACATTAACTAAAAGTGTTATTGATGACCAAAATAGTAAGTAGGTTAAGCCATTATCGGACATTAAAATTTTTCCGAATGTAGATAAAGTTTTAATTTTAGTCATAGCAGAGTATATTAGTCCCTCGAATAACGATTCGATTTGAGAATAAAAGTATTAAATAATATAAAAGTTTATGTAAAACATATCTGATGTACTGAAGCCAGGGCTACACTGTGGCAAATTATATTTGTGAGCACATCAAGCTTAACACTGTGGAATCTTATGTATTAATAACAGGTGCTATTTTGCAACCAAAATGCCTGATATAGCCTGAAGTGTTATAGACACACCACCGACCAATGAAATATAGAGTCTTCCAGTGACTTGGCACAATTTTAGCTTGGTCCACGGGCCAAGTCACCGGATTAAATTTTTAAATATATTTTTTCCCGGCAATTGGGTCCACTCTAAGATTCTAGAGTAAATTTCTGTTAATTTGGTGTTTAATTTATTAATATGCACATTGAAGGTGAGCCTAGTTGCCGGACGAAAAAAATATTTTAAAGTACAATCCGGTGGCTTGGCCCGTGGACCAAACCTTGGAAGACTCGAAATGAAGTACCTAATTAAATTGACTGTTATAAGACTTTAAAAGGGATAAGAAAAGATGACCTTCGTCATAATAAATGTTTTATTGTTTCTGATGATGAATATGATGATGATCGTAGTCGTCGAGTGTAGCCCTGGCTTCAGGTCCAAACATTCGCTTCCACGTCGACTAACGCACAGATGTGATGTTTGCCTTATTGGTGTTACATGTTGTTGATTCATTTTGTGCTGCGTTGTGTATTGCTATAACGTTGTATTGATTTTACAAA